CTATATAAATTCCAATTTCTGACAATTGCCGGGTAGTCGAATGCAAGTTCATGTTGACCATTCTGGGTGATTCCTTGGGATCCCGGGTCAAGCACATAGTAACTGTTAATCAGGTATATCGATTTACTTCAAAGGAGAATCATGAACACCAAACAAATGATTTCGAATGTTTGGCCCTTACAAGTGGATTGGAATGTTGACACTATATAAACTTCCTGAAGCTTGTTGGCCACCCCTGGTGCCACTGGAAGCCGGCCAACCCACAGGAACCTCGCCTCCAGTGTCTCCACGGTTTCGATCCGAGATTGTGGGGAATCCTGGGCCAGGGGCTCCAAGGGACACACACACACACATGCCACGCAAGTTGGGTATATATATATATATAGTTGAGCCGTATATATGCTTGCACGATTTTTTTTGGAACTGTTCTTGCACGGTTCTTTTTTTTGGAATTCAATTGTGGTTGTGCAATACACATTTGAAGCGAGCGTCGGCCCTCGGTACAGATGATGCGGCAACTAGAACTCTAGCAGCTTCCACCTGGGCTTCCAAGTCCTCGCGTGTCGGGCAGGGCATCGAAGTCACCATCCCAGTATAATACTGAAAAAGCTTTTTGTATGATAGGTTGTTTCTACAATCATGTTATGACCATGTCCAAATCTTTAACCTATATAAAGGGTCCTTAGTCACTTGTAGGAGGTCTTGTTCCTCAGCCCGAAGTCGTTCAGCTTCGTCTGCTAGGTGTAGGACACCCTCGCTTAGAGAGGCGCAACTCCAAACCCTGGTGCTGCCACCCATTTCGGATTTGCATTCCATGTGAATCGCCATGGATCACAGCCAAGTGTTCGTGAGGGTCTCACAAAAAAAAAAGCTCAAAGCTAAGCTAAGCCCAAAAAACATCAAAGGATTGAACGACTGATTGCCAACACACTTGAATTTCAATTGGCAAAAACAAATCAAACAAATTGTCACATCACAGAATGTCTATCCATCTGAGCCCCTTTTTTTCCATAGTGGCGACCTGCATCCGGCCTACAAAATGAGTTGAAAAACTCAGTTGGGACCAATTGGAGCCAGAAGGCTTGAACCCATCTTTTTCCTACGGGTTCCTACGGGTTCCCTATGGGTTCCCTACGGGTTCACTACGGGTTGCCAAAACACGATGTTTTAATTTTTTACTATCAAAACACGATGTATTCTCAAAATCGCTACGGGTTCACTACGGGTAAAGACGGGTTCCCTACGGGTTAACTACGGGTAAAGACGGGTTCTGTATATCATCCCAATTGAGTTCTGCCTAAAAACCCGTCAATTTGCATTTGGACCCACAAAATCCATAAAAATACCAGATTGGATATGACTTGGAGAGGACTGTACCTTGGAAAATACCACCAGATGCAGCGACCTCCGCCCCCACGGCTCCTGGTGCAATGAATTGAGCCCATTTGGGGCGCCATAGTCGTGAACACTATGTACTTTACAGTTGCTTTGGGATAAAAGGCCTCCATGTGTGAGGGATGATTAAATGTTTTCCTTTCCTCAAATAATTGAAAGCATCCTTCAGACCAGAAAAGCTCAGATCTCCAGGCTCATCTTCCATCAGCTGGAAACTTTCGAGAGCAGGCGGGACAGCATCGGGTAGTGGAACTCTCCGGGCAGTAGCAACCAAAGCATCATACAGGTCCACCATAGCGAACCCGAATCTCACCGTATACTCCCTTAGTATAAATGTTGATTTGGCCCAGGATTTAGAAGGGTAGACCCAATAATTACAAATTCATGTTTTGATTGAAGTACATCTTTTGTGGGTGACCAAATGGACTTGAGCCCGTTTTCCTAATAATAAGTGGAAATGTCTCATGAAGGTTCGTTTTTGAAACCCAACAAGTGTCAACCCATGAGTCGAAATTACTGATATAAAGAAACTAATCAAAATGCGTGCTGAGTGTCTCAGTTTTCTTGAGAGCTGCCGTTCCCTTGTAGCAGGTCTTACCAGCTTTGTTCTTGTAAACAATAGCCGTTGGTGCCCCACCCTCCTCCATGGATTTGCGTTTCCAGCCTGTCAGCCGGCCTCTATCCAATTTGGATACCTGGTTCGAATTTGAGTACGCCCAGTGCCTTTTCGGAGTTCTGGACGCGTAGTGGCGCATCCACCAATGCACCTTCGACACCTGAGCCAGATGACTACAGTAAGTAGGTGTCCATCCGGAGGTTGTACTGTTCCGAGTGTAAGTGCGCATGAATATAAATTTAAGCATTACTTATCATCAACAGGATACAGTAGCCGGTCAGGTATGAGAAGTCAAACTGTCACGGTTTACATATGTTTACACCTTTAGTGGCCAATGCCAAAAAAGGATCCTCGAATTGAACAACTTAGCCCTCTACAGCGCTACCGCCATGGGCATAGTAGAGATTGCACAGGAATTGCCGGTAGAACGGGAAGTACTGAAGCAACGATCCACTTGGCTGCTCTAGCAGCCAGCATCCCCCCCAAAGCTGTTGTAAGAAGCAACAGGTATACAGTCCTTAGGCGGCAATCCAAAACGGATCAGTTAATCATTCATACAATTCGGAATTGTAGAACATCACTTGCCGTCGGGACCCACCCAAGGTGCAAACCCTGAATCTTACATATCCAAGTTGATGGGTGATATGCAAATGAGGATCCGTATTCATTCAGAAAAGGTTCCGTGCAGCCATACAGTTTGAACGGGAAACGCTTGGAAACTCTGCGAACCCCAGACTGTTGCTGGCGCTCCTTTGGGATGTCCCTCGATTGATCCCGGTCCATGACGCACACTTGATGGCATAGGTCGCCAGAAAGCGTTTGGTGCGGCACTTCAGCAAAGTGATCACGCCGAGACTCGGCTGCGTGAGGATGGGATGAACTGGGTGAGGCTTGGTGGGGATAAGGAATCGCGCTTTTGTAAAATCATACTGGAGAGATGGACTCATAAAATGCCGACCCAAACTTGTCCAATTGAGAATAAACAATGCCATATATAACCGATCTCGATTGTCTATTGAACGCCATGGATCCTTTAAAGGAGTAAAGAGAAAAGTGACCCATGATTTCCTATATTCCTATATTGTCTAGACCAGGTGTTGCATGGGTAAATCAAAAGTACAAAAGGCAACGTTAGAGACTTTCATGTGTTTACTGGATGATATCCATATCCCTACAAAAATTCCAGCACACTGTGCAATTACAAGGATAACTACACTTGGGACCAGGAGGTCTTTTCAGTTCATCCCATGTTCAAAAGGATCAACACCAAATGCTGGAAGTGAAGGTCTTTGATCACCATGGTTCAATTTCAAAATAGAAAATGCGAATCAATCTGGGCAACTAGCTTAGCAACCGCTCGTATCGAAGCAACGTGAAAAAACACATGAACCATCGCAAACCTGTCGTTCGGTTCTTGATTGTATACATCAACGATCTGGCATTAGTCTGTATCACACATATAAACAATCATAAACAAACCTGGTTGACCACATGAAACAGGAATGGCAAAGTGGTTATTGACCACTGTCGTCACTATGTAACTCCTATTCATGAAAGTTCCCTTCTTAATTGAACCAAGGTTCCAAAACCCAGAGGGCGACAATATATCCATGCAGTTGCTTTTGTGGTTCTTGGACCCCCTTACCTGATAGAGAAGATCAAGAGATGCTGTCCGGATTCCTGACGCTCTCATACATCGAGAAAGGTTTCCCTTCCCTGCGTAGAACTCCACATAGTCCCACTCCTGGTTTGGTGAGCGAGAAGCAGGCAACCAAACACTTTATGCATGTTAGGCGGCTCAGCTCGATCGTAAGCATATTATGATTACTGTACAATTTGATCGAATTGACATTCATGAGTGTTAACATGAAACCATGCGCGTATACAATTTTGGAAGGGCAGGATGATGCTTTGAGCAAATGCTTTGCACTTGAAATGTAACATTTCGAGCTACCAATGGCCTTGTACATGTGCGTACTGTATGTGGCTTGGTCTCCTCATCCAAGTTCATATTTTCACTCCAAAGCGTGAGCAGGATGATCATAGCCAGCACCTTGGCCAGTTGAAGATGGGGAGTACTTTGAATCAACATCAACGCTTTAGTATATGAAAAACTGTATCGTTTTGATCAATTGAAGCGATCTCCGATGTACCATCGGCTTTGAGCCCCTGACCTTCGGGCATTGCAGTTTCCACAAGCTGTAGAACAAAGCATCGAGCTCAGGTGAAACAACATCGTACGTCCAATTCATGGACGAGGCAGGACTGGGAGAGACCGCCGGAGTGAATAAAAATGTGGTTCCTCTGAGCCACAAACTTCTCGTTTGTTGTGAATGAATCTGAGCGCTCGCTGAAAGCAATTGTTCGATTCCTGAATATAGTTGAAGTTGCTGTATGCATTTGGATTCACAAAGACTCAAACAAGTCAGATCGACCTCCTTTCCTCTTATTTTTCTTGATGGACAGCCGCACTGACCACACCCGGCCCCGCGAACCAGGCATTGGATGTCCGCTGCTCGAGGCAGGCAGAAGACCTCCACAAAGACTGGACTGGAGGATCGAGTTGAAGGTTAACGTTTTGTCGCTCAAAACCAATTAAAACATTCAGCAATGAGAGCTGCTCAAAAGCTATCGACTTTTCACTTCGAGACCGAGCTGGCAGCAGTCTTGTTGCGCTGCCATTCATGAGAGAAACCCCAATTGGCACACAGTGCACACGCCCCCCTGCTGCACTGTAGCAAGCTGTTCCATGTTTGATGTAATTACTTAAATTAAGATGGATCCATGAAGCCATGAATACTATAAAACTAAAACTGAAACATTGGACATACACCGTGACCCAGGAGGAAGGAGCACAAAAAAGTGTGCCTTAGAAATTAACCCAGGGTTGCCTATGAATCAACCCACTACGCTACCCAATAGCAGTATTCACATGGTCCCACAGCTCGATCAATCCACGTTCTTGCTGGCTGCCCTCTGGCGCAACATCTCAAAGGCCATGCGCCCGCAGTGCTTGAGCGTTTCCTCGCTGTGGGGGGCTGCGGCCTTCCAAGTTCAAAGCCTAGGCGCGAGCGAGCAAGGGACGGTAGAGTTGAGCATGGGGTAGGACATGTTGATCGATATCATGATTTAAATTGTAACATCCTTCTCCCATGACCCATCACTGAAGAATGTCAGAAATTGAAATATATAAAAATTCTTGGGCCGTATTCTTTCCAGGGGCAGTCATGTAGGCAATCTTTGCACAGATTGCCATTTTCCACGACTCAGGGGAACAAACGTTATTGAAAGAGCAATGATGTCCATCCTTGCCCTCTGCGATGATTTTCAATCCACATCCACATTTGCTCCAATAGCAGTTGAGGGTGTGCGCCTTCAACCCAGTAAGGTCCCCTTTGATCTTTAGCTTGTAGGGCTCGCTTTTTGGGGAGTCCTTCTCATCAAACTGCAAAGCAAAGTCAACCAGCGATTGGGCCAGCTTTATGTCAGCCGGCTCGGCTGGGATGGCCGAGGAGTCGGCACTGCCCTTCTTTGCCCTGGATTTCGCCTTTGGTTTCGGCTTTGCAGCCGCCTTTGTCTTCCCTTCTTTCACCTTGCCCTCAACAGCAACCTTTGGCTTCCTTGCAGAAGCCTTGGCTGCAGTCCTTTTCCCAGCAGCACTCGAAGAAGCAGCTCCAGCCAATGATGAAACCTCTTCTTGAGGTTCCTTCTTGGCAGGTTGTTTCGGCCGCTTGCGGCCTGATGCTTCAGGATGGCTGTCAGCCAAGGGTTCAGTCTTTCGTTTGCGCCGTGGCTTTGGTCCCCCCACTTCAGCCACTTCAGGGCCTATATGGGAAGATGAGGCAGCCGCAGCAGCATTGTGCAGAACCCTTCTCGCACGATGGACTTTCTTCTTGGGTGATTTCTTGGTCTTCTTGGATTTCTTACCTTTCCGCTTTCCGGCGGCCTTCTTGGATTTCTTACCTTTCCGCTTTCCGGCGGCCTCCTTGGTCCTCTTCTTGGATGATTTGACGGTTGACTTGTGAGCCAACTGGTCACTCCGAAGAAGAACTACATCACCGGGCACTGCAGACTCCTGGAGAACGGCCAATCGCCGCCAGGTGTTTCCATTTTTTTCATGGGGCGTGTCTATAGACGCATGAGGGTAGCCACCATACCATTGGTTCTATACAAACAGATCAAACTTAATATTGACCGGTGTGGCAACCACATGTCAAAAGAGTTGCGGTCACTCAGCCTCAAATTCATTCCCAAACGACTTGACTGATTCACTATACATCGGGCCAAACAGTATAGGCACATCCAAGTAAAAGTGCTTGGTGATCTCTGACTTAAGCTAATTATGTGAAATGGCATGCCATCCCCTCAATCCTCAGCGTGGCCAGGCCCATCCGATTCCACAGCAGCAGACGCAGGAGGCCCCGAACCTTGAGGGAGCTCGACCTTCGCGGGCTTGCACTGACGCCTGAAGTTCTTTCGGTGTTGTTCAGCATCTAAGACTGGCGACGGTAGTGTGGCCGAAGGTGACGTTGGGGGATCCACCTTCATGATGTCAATGGGCTGCGTGTCCAAGTTGTCCGCATTCCCACGGACAGGGGTTGGCAACGCCCGATGTGCTCCTGGAAAATATGTCAAGCCAGGAAAGGTCATCATGATTCATCATGGCGTCAAATATTGTCAACTGGCGTGTTCCCATTGATGATGCAAGGGAACTATAAAAATACAAACGATTGTAGCGCCAAATGACGGATATGGAACATTTGTTGAGTTTTGGTTTCATGTTTTATTGCAGACGTTTTTTCAAACCACTCCAATTTCAATAGTAAATCCACCAACCCAAGATGGTCCTGAAGCCTTTGGTGGTTCCATGCTTTCGGATTTCATTTTTTGCCATGGAGGCGGAGATCCGGGACTTCTTCTCTCGCAACCTCGTGAACGTCAGGGCCCCGAAGAACAGAATGCAACAGATCGAACTATATTTCAAACACAGCAGGATCGACGTGAAAGAAACACTGAAATGTATACATCTCAACATATCATCATTGTTTTTTCAGCGCAGACAAACCTGAAATGATCAAAATGCATCAACACATGTCAAAACCGCTATGTTTCTTTTGTTCGTCGCCAGGGATGAGGCTTTCACACCCCACCACTCACCCCTTTAATAGTTCTGAGAAAGCGGCGCTTGCAATTGAGCGTTCGCGGCCTCCAATTTTGCGAGCGTTGCTTGAAGTTCTCGATCTGCGTGTGCAAGTGGAGCACGTCCAGCTTGTAGCTCCGTAGAACCTGCGGTAGCCATGATTTCTTTTTTTTCGGGATTAGTGGCATACATGGGAAAACCACTGATGCCATCATGGGGACAAGCTGACACGGCCCAATTATTTGGCTGTTTTCTGCTTATGGCTAATCAGTTCTTGATCAAAGGGTTTTATCATTTTGCCTGACTAGAACTTCCAAGCAATTGACAAGAGTTCATGGACACTTTCAGCTGATCCAATGGACCAAAAAATGTTCCCTTGATGCGTATTACCCATCTAATCTCGAAGATGCCTTCCCCAGGTGAAGACAAAGAATGTGAAGCCGCGCCCGATGAAGGACCGGGGGCCGTCTCTGCAGCTGGATGGATGGGCATGGCCGGAGTGGGTTCCTCTGGTGGAATTGGCTGGTCATGCTCACGCTCAAAAATTGGCTGTGAATCGGGAAAAGGTATAAATGGATGGGGAGGCGGTGAACTCGGTGCCATAGGCTGTTGGTCTGGAATGTCTTGGCCCTGCATGTCATCATCGTCCCCAGATTCCTCACTACTGCTGACGTCGGCTTCCACAGGGTCATAGGCATCAGGATCATCTTTCTTCTTGGATTCCAGCAATGCCTGGCAAGCAGGCATCTACATTATTGTACTCGGTATACGCCGAGTGCAAAATCTACGTACATGGAACACGCACAGTCACTATAAGTTGTTGCATTGTATACCAAAGGACTGTTCCATATGAGCTTCGTCAACAAATGATGTGATTGGTCAAGGGAGTGAAAGGCTAGAGACACCATAAAAGGGACATGAAGATCCATGCGTGAGAGTAGCGCCTTGCGCGCAAGTAACTTGGCTTCGTGCTTCTTCCTCACCTGCATAACCAGGTCCTGGACGATGTCTTGACTTTAATCGGATACGCTTCGATGGGACATGTGTCCAGCCAGAAAACTGGTTATTCATAACCCTCATGGCATGTAGCTTGTATAGTCCTGGAACCCCCACTCCACACATTTAATCATAGCTTCGTATCTCTTTGATGCCCTCCAGAAGCAGTCCTTCAAGTCCGGCTTCAGGATGAGGCAAAGTTCCTGGAAGTTTTCAACCTGAAGGACCGAGACGGCTGGGCACTACTGGTGTTTAGGGGCATGGGTCAGAACCCATGTGCAGACTTACCTTTCAGTTTCCATGAGTTGAGCAGTGCCGAGATCAATTAAAGAATGTTAAAGACAAATGTTACATCATCAAATGGAAGAACCTTTCATCAGGATGAGCCAGCACAATGATCAAGACCACTGGGATTTCACTCTCCCTTAAACCAAGTAGCCGTGCTGACTTTCTTGGTTCGCACCTTCATTTTGACAAAGGAGAGGAGCTTTCGAATCATCCAAGCATCATTGACAACCACCAACTCGTCTGGCATTGTGCTACATGTTTCATACAAATGTGTGATCTCTTCCTTGAGCCGATCAATGCCTGGTTGAGGCATGCCATTGGTTTTTTCCCATTCTCTCTATGAGAGGCTTCAGCAAACAGAAGATGTGTGTATGCTTCACACACTTCACATTTTCCGTGATACTTTTGGGGATCAGCACTGCGTCCTCCTCTCGCAGATGCTCCCGTATCGCAGAAAAACCTTCCCACTGTGAAGCCAGGCCGTCCAACTCAAGCTTTGGCTTCGTGTCATCTTCTATAGAGGCTGAACTCATGGCAGCACTAGCCTATAGGTGGACACCTATCCCAGCAAGATTTTTTTGATATTCGAGCAAAAAGGGTTTCTCGAGGATAGGCCAAAGCATGACAATGGCTGGAAAATGCTGGAAAAAATGGTTTTACCGCGTAGTGTTCAAGCATGTCTTGCTTCAAAACTCTCGAACCCATGAGCTGCTTTGCAGGACTAGCTGGCCTGAAGCAGCCGCATGGCAACCCACACGCCATTGTGAAAAAAGAGCTGCGTTGGACGCGGGATTGGTTGCCCTGATTGCCACTGCATGGTTCGAACACATGTGATTAAAGATTTTGTTATTCCATGTTATTCCTTTGCAGTTGACGTTTGTCAATCATTTTGGTCACATCTTGATGCAAGTTCTTTGGACCCACCACCACACCATGAATGGTGTAGAGCCATCCTGCTTGAGAGGCGGCTTTATGCAAGAAGTTCCTGGCTAATGAAGGGAATGCAACAGGATCATGATGACTAAATGATCTATGCTAAGGTCCATAGTTGAGAGATTCTCAAAAACACGATGTTTTTTTTTGAAGACACGATGTTTTTATAACAGCACTGTCAAGACATGATGTTTCCAGAAAGAGTCGACAAATTCTTAGGTTCTAAGTTCTTTAGGTATATATTATATACTGTATCAAAAGCCACCATCCTCAATTTGTTCAGCGATCTCTATGTTCAGACTTCGCACTTCAGATTGGCATTCCTTCCAGTTTCGCACTTTTTCACCGGGGAAAAGGAACAGTCACCGCGGGGAACGGTCGCCTTGTCTGCAGACATGCCGCCACCTCTCTGACCACGTCCTGCTTTCCGATCGCCACCGAACCTCTCGCCTGGGTTCGCCGCCCGGTCGAGCTCGGCTCCATCGGTGGATCCGGTTCCCAAGGCGTGTCGGTGCACATTCTGCACTTTTGGACCAAGGCCGTCCGATGAGTCGAGTCTGAGACCGGGTCTGAGCGAAAACGTAGACCGTCTACGTGTAAGAGAGGCAGGTCTGGCAGGATGGAGCCCTGTTTTTTCGATCGAGTGGCTTTTTGGGTCCTTTGTATGTTTCTTTAGTTCACCGGAGTTGATGTATAGGCACAGAATTATATAGTTGCGATAGTTGGGTATGACCGGTATGGCCTGTTGTGACATGTTTGGTTGTTGGTTCGTTTGCAGGTTGTGTTGCAGGTGAGCATAGACAGACACGCACAGCACAGGGCTGAACTATAGCCATAAGCTATGCAGTTTAATCCCGAGCACCTACTGAGAAAAATAAAGCTACCATGCATACCACTCCACCCCAGTCAGACGGCGCGATCGCAGATCCTGAAGCTCACCCCGGTTTTGGCGACCTCGGATAGCAACGTGCCTTTCTTAGCGGGCAGTGCAGTGGGCAGGATCAGGCAGTGGTTAGAGCGACTGGCAAAGGAGGATGACCATGCCAAACGCGTGAGTCAAGTTCTCTAGTCTAAGTTGGGGCCCTGCAGACTACACAATGTAGACTGTCAGTCAAGGACCCCTAGGAAGACTTCTTCTCATCTACTAGCCAGTGGTCCATCTTAATTTGGAGGGCAACATGGACATCCCAAATCCCAAATCAATGGTTTAACTGGTCAATGCTGATCAGGAGTTCATTGCAAGACATTCTACCCCACCTGTAAAGCCGAGTGATGAGTCAGTTGATACGAGCTCCGAGTCGGACTGAACCGTCCAATGACCACCTGGAAGTCATCATCCACCATCCCCGGGCAGAACGAGTCACTGGACTCTCGAGGAATACTGGACTCTAGAGGAATGAAGTCACTGGATCTTACATCTCTGCAACATTTTATGCCGAACTTCATCTAAAAAAATCAGCCAGTTGGTTGGCAGAACATGTTGCGCTGTAGGGCAGCGAAAGCTCCACCGGCCCTGGACAGAACACCCTCACCGGCCCAAGATAATACAAGCAAAGGAGGAGGAAGATTTATTCTACCCAGGATCCTTGGACCCTCCTTAGAAGGGGTCGAAGCCTCTATAACAAGGGTTTGTACCCGAACCAAACCCTTGTTTTTGAGGCTGCGGATCCTTAGGGCAAAATCATGCACTCTTCAGTCTGACTAAAAGTCCTGAGCTCTGCAGACGGAGCTGGGGTTCATTGACAGACGGTTCGCGCGGTTCGTCGCACCGCGTTCGGCCGAGTCGGTTCGCACTGAGGTCGCAGTGGACAACATTTGCGAAGGCCTTCGTGCTCGAGGGGTCAAGGCCTTTCCTCTCCCGATTGGCGCGGGCTCGCGGAGCTTTCCAAGCGGAGCTCGGGCGAGTCGAAGAGCTCATTCAGATCGGGGAGGTTTGACCACGTGGCGTTTTCAATTTTTGTTTTGAACAAATCATTCAGAACCAGGACCTTCCAAGTTCGGTGTCTTTTTTGGACACCCCGAATCAGCTCTAAGGGGCTATTTACAGACACCTCAGAAGGAAGGGTCCTCGAAGGAGATGTAATATGTTCATTCATGTTCTTTTGGCTCCCGGCGCGGGATCAGGGTTCGTTATGGTTTGTTCACTCTCTCTCCATGTGGATGTCCTGCACGAGTCCAAATCGGCAGCGAACAGGTCTGTCCCACTTGTAGCACTGGGTCAACGAATTCGTTGGAACTGTCGGGTTCATCTATCCAATCATCATCCATTGGGCTCCGAAGCCTTCAACCTGGGATGGTCGACCCGAAGTGCCTTCCACCGGGACAAAACCGTGGACCGGATCCGATCGCAGATCCGCCGACCGTTCGATCCGTACCTTCAGGCGATCCGCGTGGGGCGACCAGAGAAGGTCCGCAGCGTCATTGAGGATATGACCTTGGAGGCGTGGCGTGGCTCTCAGAGGTTTTTGGGAGCTGAGATCGTCCACCAGCTTGACCAGTGAGAAGCGGAAAAATCCGAAGCGTTTGTTTTTTTTTTGGGGGGGGGGCGCGTGGGACGGTCAATTCATCTTTTTTGGTTGCGTTCTACGAGTTGGCACTGCGCCAAGCGGTCCTGTCTTGGAGCGACATGCGAGTTCGGCACGGTGAGTGGAACTGTTTAGAGCAACTCGCGTGGCCCGAGTTGGACATGTTGACCTAACGGATGGGAACCAGCATGGATGGGGAGCCACCGCCCAGACTCGATGTCCAGCTCCCCTTCCGTCGCTTAGCTGAGGGCGGTTTGGAATCAGAATGTCATTCAGCACCTGGAAGAGGCACTGATCTTTCGATCTCCAGTGTCGGAATCCTTGAAGGAACTGGAGAGTTGAGGGGGGGTCCCTGCTTGCCATGGCCTATCTTCACCATTCACCTCCCACCGTAGACCACATATTTAGTCTTAAGAATCCGGGCTCTCAAAAATTCGGTTTGGTTCGGGTCCGGACCCCTGCGTTTCGGTGTCGGGTCCGGCCCCTGTCAAGGGGTCCCGTACAGATTCTATAGGGTATAGGCTTGTGTTTGGGAGCAAATTCTCCCCCAGGGCACCCAGGCAAACCACTAGTTCGCTGGGAGTCCCAGTGGTTCCAGTTCGACGACCAAACCGAACCCCTGGTTCCATCTGTTCTTCCTTTATAGTGACAACTGGGATGCACTAGGTCCGTTAACAGCATCCTTCAGAGGGTCCCATTGGCCGGGTGGCAGGCAGAGCTGAAGCGCCTGAAGGAGTCCGAGGAGACGTGGACGACGGACGGTGAAGCGTTCAGAGCGGCGAGAATGGGAAAGGGAAAGAAGGTGAGTGGTTTCGGAGGCTCATAGACCCTCAAACTGCTACATGTTTGAGGTCCAAAACCCTGGCTATGAGGGTCCAATGAGCCTTTGGGTGGTTTCGGCGTTTGGTTTCTTTGAGTGGAAGAAGAGAAGTTTGAGTGGTCCATAAAAGAGAGAATGCTGAACACATTGGTCCTTCTAAGCATCTGTAGTGTTTCGACAGAAATCATTCTGAAATCCTTCTGAAACGTTGCATACAAAAAATTCCATGTTTGACCGGGCAACTCCGTAGAACTTCATGAGATGAAGTCCATGCTCGAGCTTTTTACGGTTTGGAGACGCCGTTCGCTGCGCTCGGACACCCAGACTCCAAGCTGTCAGACTGTCCATATGTTCGTTTTGAACGTCCGTGTGATCGATCGTCGTTGGCACCAAAAACCATGTCTCAACTGGGTAGTGGTTTTCAGAT